CCTTTCTTGCATCTCCTTTTCCTTTCAGCTTCTCGGCTCAAAAACGTGCTCCTCACCTTTTCCTTTATTCCTTGTACCTCGACCATGTCACAATCGACTACTTCAGACCTGGTCTCCACTATTGCGACGCAACTCAACATCGTCATTGTTGCACTTCGACTATTGGTGGACATGATTCAAAACCCGGACGCTACCTCTCCTGTGGACATGATCCCGGGCTCCTGCCCTTCCAGACCACCTGCTAGTCCGGCATCGCCGCTGTTTCAAACCACCACGAGACCTTCTATCAGCTGGGCACCTTGTGAACAACCGGTACCTCGTTCAGAGCTTTCACAGACTCTTCTGAGGACTCCACCACCGTCACCTACGTCAACAGCTGGGACGCGCACTCCCCCTGCCCTCCCCTCCTCCCCCGCTTTCTGCCCCCCCCCCCCCCCCTTTCCCCCCCCCCTCCTCCCCTGTTCCTTCCCCTTCCCCTCTTCCCGCCGATGTCGCTCTCTCTCCTCCCCCACTCTCGTTTCCTCCTTCCCCCGTTCTCTCCCCTCCTGACTTCGCCTACCCACCTCCCTCCTCTCGGGCTCTCCCACCCTCCCCCTCCCCTTCCTGTTCACTCGTCTCTTCCGCCCCCCATGGCCCCCTTCCCTCCCGTCCCCGCAAACGCCGCTCACCTTCCCCCTCTTCCTCCCCCTCCCCTACCTTTCTTCCTGCCTCTCCTCGCCCCCACTCAGACACCTCTTGGGAAGACGATTGGAGCACCAAGGATGACGACCTACTTCTCAGCCTCAAATGCAATGAACGCCTACGACCCAGTTGGCGCTACATCACGAAGAAAATGCAGCGCCCAGAATCTCAAATCCGTGCTCGTTGGGCTGAACTTCTTGAACTACAACGGCTGGCTACATCCTGATTATCGTCTTTGACTTTTGACTCACCGACTCACAGCACCCGGAAAACGGCCTTCGCTGACTTTACATTTCTCTTGGGTTATCACACCATTTTCGGTCCACGTTAGGCTCTCAGCCCTCACTTTGCATTCTCGATTGCCTTTTCTCCATCTTTATGTTGAACCTTTTTCCACGCCTCTGCCATTTTAGCCTATTGGCCCAAAACTAGTCTCACCGCTTTTGCTCTCGCACCTTGACGCGACCCATGTCCAATTTATCCGCTACAGGTATCAGACGCCCGTCCATGGCTTCCTACCTTCGGGACTCAGATGAACCTATCCTCATCTCCACCACCTTCCCCAAGAAAGCTCGTCCGACAGAACCTCCTACTTCATTGCGGACTACCTCTACCTCCTCGCATCCATCGAGTACGAGTACACCCACTGCGACCACACTACTTTCGAGTGACTCTACTTCAAATTCGGCTCGGCCGTTGGTAGGACTACTTGTCAAGCTCAACGGCGAGGAGATACCTTTTCTGATTCCCCGACCATCACGTCCGTTTCGACTTCCTGCGGCAAAGCCTTAATTCACTAATTCAAGATCATCCTTTCGATTCGTCGCTTCCTGTGGAAAACAAACCCCTTACCGACTTGTCTTCCTTTTGACAGAATACCATGATCTTCGCCTCGGCTGCAATTATTCCTTCTTTCCGATTCTTCCGCAGCCTTTTGGTTCCACATTGGTACACTCCCTCACCTTTTACTTGACATGGAGAATATGGACCTTCAACCAGAAGATGTTCGCGTCCCTTCGGGAGATTCCTCTCCGACACAAATTCCTCCCGATGACAGTCTTTCACATCAGGACTACCAGGACCACACGGCTGACTCCACGCCTCCCGCGGACCCTGCTCTTTTGCCGAGCATCCCTCGCTCTGAGAACCAATACAACGAGGACTATACGGATTATGCTCGCCAAATTCACAACTCAACCCACGGAGCTTGGCCTGTTGCTGAACCATTTGAGGAATGGGCTTGTCGCCGATCCCACCAGACACGCTATTGGTTCTATCGTGCTTGGTTCCACCATAAGACCCTTCCCTGGGATCACAATGATATTGAATACTACAAACCTGCAACCGGCTATTTTATCGACGATCATCCCGCTTCCCAATGGCCTTCGATATACGGGGTACCCGGGGTTGGCAACTTGTGCTTTCTGCCACACAAAGCCTCTCCATTTGGACACAATGCGAGCAATACGAAGCCGCTCTTCGTGCTGAAGAAGAACGTATTGCAGCTGCCCAACAACTCAGCCACACACCTGCCCCCTGCAGAGGCCAAAAGAGACAGGCTGCGGACAATCTGGAACATCTCAGTGTACAGTATCAAATTGAAGCCCTCTTGCAGAATTTCTCTCAGCTTGATGTCTCCAAGGTACCTATGCTTCAGGGCCTACCCGTTCCACAGCAAGAACAACTCATTAGCGGGGTTGTCCACACTCTCACTACGTATCGGGATGAACTTCACCAAGCTTGCCAACCGCATGATCCTCCATTCCATCCGGACCGCTCATCCGCAGCTTCTTCGGCCGCCCCTGCCCAAACTTCTTCCATCGATCCTATCAGCGACGGCACTGGACTTCCACTTCCCCTACCTGATTCAGGATCTATGTCTTTGAATTCTACCTCGACTGAGTCTCAACATACTTTGGAGCCTCCCTTTCCTACTGACCGACCTCGAGATTGACTTCCATTCCCTCAACTTCAGGTCGAGGCCGTATAAGCTTCCCTGAGCTCAGGATTCTCTTCGTTACGCATTGAAAAGTTCCACGACATCTTCGTTCTCACTTTGATGTTTTTCTCGTTTCTGATTGATTTTACCTTACACTTCCTCACATGTCCTTTTACCTTACACTTCCTCACATGTCTTTTGACTGTTCTTCACCGCAGCCACTGGCTCCTATCTCCTCCACAGCTCTGTTTTCTATTTTCCTATCCTTCAACCTGCTCGATGATTTCTTCCCCGGGTCTTCGCGTACCCGAGCCTTTGACACAAATGATTCCTACATCTCGTACTTCTTGGCGTGAAGTTCGTCAACCCTTTGAAACATTGGACATGGTTCCCGACCTTTCTACCGTCCGCTTTGAACTGGACGTCAGCTTGCTCGTCTATCAACCCCTGAACTACATCACAGTGACCTTAGACTGGCAGCAGATTGACACCAAGGAGTACACGGTTGATGATCTCAAAGATGTGATCTACTTAGGCCAACACCGTACGGCCTTCTGGATGGCCCTTCCCTCGACTGGTGATTCACGAGTATGGGAAGTCCCACACACCTGCACCCTTGAAGACCTCGTCCTCTACTTTATCAACTCACGACGAGTACGCCCACTGGGACTTGCCACTGAATACCCCCGTGAATCCGTTCCTTTTCCCTATCGACCACTCCATACAGTCGCTCCCCGCCTTCATGATGATGCCATTGGTCAACTCCGACTACCACTGACTGCCTATCAGACCTACCGCGAGATCCGTCAATTCACTTAGTCTCACCCCACTTTCAGCGCGGAGCTTAAAATCTTGCCTCCCTTCGGGGAGGCGTGTGTGTGTAACCCTTGGAGTCATAGGGATCCGTTTGGATTTGTTCGGTTTGCCTTCTTTTAGCCTTTACTACAGCAGGGGGCTCGTGGACGCATGGGTGGCACGAGCCAACGAAGACCCATCCATGTCGTCGTGATACCAGACCTGATCAGTCTGGCGTACCTGCGATTTTCCTTCCTTTCTGAATGGCATGAGGCTAAGCCAAGAACCTCGAAGTTTTGATGTCTTCTTTGAACTGCAGATGCGAGCGGAACGTCGTCAGCCTGTTCGTCCGTCGTTCGTTTTCTCCTTCTTTGGGCCATTTCTCCGTTTGAAGACCCCCAGGATTCGCTGGTTCCCTACCGATTAGGAAATGGAACCCTAGGCCGGCGTGTGGCACCGCTTTCAGTTCAGTACACCCTATCCTAAGTGTGTGCGTGTAGTACATGAGATTGTGTGGGTATGTTCCGACCAATGCTCACGAGGCTAGGGTGGAGTTGAGACTGGTGAGGGTGTTGAAAGGAGGTCTAAGTCTGATGTAGTTCTTGCATTTTCTTGTTGCCTCTGGCATGAAGTTTTTTGACAGGTCTACATTGACATGTTTATTTATCGCTGATGTGTGGGCCTTTACTGTAGGGGTCAAACATCAATTGTGCTGGCTTTTACCTGCAGTGAAATGGTATCGGGCTACTGCAGCCAGTGAAGCGGTGAGATTTTGCCAAGGCTTGTTGAAACGCAGTTGGTGAATTGGCGCTTGTCAAGTGATATGTTGTCACCTCTGGCGATGTGGTAGATCCTTGTTACAGATGGTGTGGTGAGGTGTCCATTTCACCCTATAACCACGACATGATGGGTAAATGAGTTCTTACCTCTGGTTCAAATCAGGTGAAGTGGTACATTTCTACGCGGTGAGTCACGGGCGAGTCCGTACCCACACATCTCTTGGCTAAGCCGAGTATGCTGGTACAGTCTGTACTCGTGAAGTGAGTGAAATGGTTTCGCACTAACTGGTGAAAACAAAGCATAGTGGAACTGCCTGGGTGGTGACGAAGTGAACACATCCACTGCTGAAGCGGTGGTTGTTAACTGCCATTGTTGTGCACTATAAATTGACTGACAACCAGAACGGGCCATCGTGGTATACTTGAGCCAAGTTGAGCCCAGTGAGCTTGGTCATGTCTAAAGCCCAAATATCGGGCTTGAGGTCGAATATTTAGTCAGCGAGAGCTGGCTTGTGTGATGTCAAATGACGTGTTGTCTTCTGAACTGCATCTAAGGCAACGCTCTCGAGAGCAAAAAAACATACAGTATCTACTTTTATATATACTATATATATATATATGTATTATGTATTTATCTATATCTATCTATCTATCTATCTATCTATCTATATATATATATATTATGACTATACCTGTTTAAAGATTGTAGGCGGGGTGACAGAGATTAAGGGACAGGTGGAGTGGCTAATTAGCGGCTACATACCGTTTAGGCCTCAACGAAAGGCAGGCTTAAAACTTAAGGGCACCTCAGTTGATCACCACCTTCATTGCCGGCTTCACCAGGAGCGAAAGACTTCAGAGAGCCTGGTGGAGGGATTCCCGCATAAGCAATCCACACCATCAAGTGCCAGATTTCTAAACATGCAATTAATGTGAAGTCGTTCAAAAGTCATGAATCATGAAGATCATGAAGTCTTTTAACACACGGTCAAAACCTTACTGGCTTTAACAAACTGTAGCTAGAGTGCCTTCGTGGACTATTCCAAACAAGAAAGGTCTTCCCGCCTGTTGTTGCTGCCATACCTTTGCCCTGCCAGGCAGGAGGTCACTGCACTTATCACGTTCAATGTTGGACACAATGAGTGGCTCAATACAGATCCGTTACGTCTGGCGTTTCACAATATGAACATCGGAATCGAACGACATGTTGATGAGCCTCACCTAGCAGCTATGCATAGTTGACAAAACTATTTATCACATTTTCTCACCAAAGAATGCAAGCAAGTGTGCATGCAAAATCCCTCATTGATACGGATGCTTGTTTGGGCCGTATCTCATGAGCTGCTGAATTTTGGTGTGCAACCATGGTTTACTGCTGACGTGCACGACCAGGACACAACATGTTCAGATCTTTGTTGAGCCAGGTTGGATGCAAATGCGCGGACCAAGAGGGAGAAGCGAAGTAATGTTTTGCCATCCGAGTCGCACGCCACACCAGTGCACAACCTGGTTCAAATCTTCTGGGCACATGCACTTGCAACAACCAATTGCGCACAGCAAAGCGACACATTTCTTTAACTCACACAGGAACAAAGCACAACAGCTGTTTGCGATAAACCTTTGCAAACAACATCTGCAAAACTCATCAGCACCCTGCGGCTGTGCACTTCACGGGACAGGGCTCACTTGCACACGCGCCCCCACCGCGAGAAAAGTTTTGCAGTTGCACTGTAGCTGAAGGTAAACCTCACACAGGCACAAACATCAATACGTTAGATTGCTCCAACATTCCATCCTGGAGTCTCGTTTGGTTTTGTCTCCAGACTGGTGTTGGCTAGAGTGACTTAATGTTCCTAAAAGTTTAGCACCCAGCCCGGATGACAAGAACGCTAATGTGCAGATATAGCTATGGAAAGAAAGGATGTCGGAATAGATGGGCACCATTGAAAATGCTTCCGTCGTACACGCGGACAATGACTCGCTTGCACACGCGCATGTTGGAAGACTAGGACGCCTTACCAAACGGCAGCATCGGCACACACTACCAATTGTCCAAGGACGCTGTGTCGGCCACGAAGGGCCAAATGCAAACATTCAAGGTGTCAGGTCGTCCACGGCTTCAAGTGTTCGATGCCTCCACAGGCACTCTGAATCAAGAAGAAACATCGAAACATGTTCATGACTCGGAAGTTTCCTGGTGTGACCATTCCAACGTAGCATACCTTTTGTGAGCTACCCAAGATAATGTCTAGA